ATGCCAATGATCAAAAAATAGGTACGAGCGCAACCTGTTCGAAATAGCCGATGTGAAACCTCTATGGACACGCGAGCGCGTGGATCTTTTAAACCGCCGTAACGTTGGACTCTCAAATGTCAATCTGTGGATCGGCAGTGGTTGATCTACGATTCATATAAAATAATATAAACTTTTGATATAATAAAATATTAATATAATTATTATTTTTTCCATTTTAATTTTAAAAGATAGATTTAATTAAAACTGATTAAAATGTATCTATTTATACTTGGAGAATCATGTATATGTCAATATTAGTTTTGAAATCATTATAGTAATTAATTAATCTAAGTCTAATTAAATTTCTTTATTTTGCAGGTCGAGAAGAGATCACTCGCAACCGCGAAGGTGGCTAAGCCCAAAAGAAGGAAGGAAATCTAATTATAGAAGTCGTTGTGCCGCGTGCTCAGCGGAGACGATGGAGGGTGTGAGTGCGGGTGCACGAATAAGAATCGGTTGTGCATTGGACGGTCATAAAATGCAGCCTGCATCCGCTCAACGCAGATGTACTGCGGAACGGGGTTCGTTCCTCCTACGAGGAGTAGTAGTCCGCAAAGGATCTCCCGTTTCGGGGTTACGCGGCCTACCGAGATGTACTGTACTTTGGGGAGGACAATGAACTAGGAGAGATCCGCGAAACGCGATTAATCGAACCGCGTGCGTGAGATCTTGCTCGAACGTTTCGGATTGAAGCGAAATCTTTTGTTCATATTGCGTTAGTCGCGCAATTTTTTTTATTTAATACACTTTACTTATATCAAGATATAAGTAAAATAATAAAATTAATCGTATAAATCGTATAAATGATAAAAAAGAAAGCGAGAAAAAAAGTTTTTATAGACATTAATTAGCGATTATTTTGTAAATAAACTCTCTACATGTGAAAAGATATAGTATCTTTTTACGTGAATAATTAATTGCACACTTCATTTGTTCTCTCGTCAATGTAAGAGTATAACAAAAATATATTTTAAAATGACCTCTAAAATATATCATAAATATTTGTTGTTTGACATTTTTTATTATGAATTGATTCTTTAATCAAGGAAACAATGAGAGCATATATTAAAGTGATTAGGTATGTTATCTCCATGTGCATGATGATACTCGGTACTTCATTAAGACGTTTTTTTTTTCCAGAATATTAAAATAACGTGCTATCTTGTCGTATGTGGAACGACTTCGTTCATTACGCCGTTCATTCATCCGGGAGCCATGTGTTTCATTGCTAACCCGTGCGGTACTTCCTGTGTACCATGATAAAAAAGAGATTTTAGTCAAAATGTACCGCGCGATCCATATTTTATATCGATATCGATGTGGCTCTTTGAATTTAATTTAATATATTTTACACATTCACGAGATAATGAAAAAATCAAAATTAAATAATCACATTTTGCGTTAAACGTGGATGCAAACTAAAAACATGTGTATGTAAAACCATGGATCTTTCTCGTTTATGAATTAAAATATAAAGAAAAGAGGATACTTGTTGAAGAAATAATAGACACTTTATTTTCTTCGTAGCTACCTCGCGATATGAATAGATATTTCCTTTTCAACTTTGCTAATGTAAAATGCTTAGCTTTCGCTGATTGTTTCTAGAGCAAAGACCAACCGTGTCGACGAGCTCCAGCTGCTAGATCTCGCGCGTGATCAACTCGTGCCGGGCAAGCTGCGATTATTATTGTTTCCCTTTTTTTCTTCACTCTTTCTCTCTCTCTCTCTCTCTCTCTTACTCTCGAAGTAGCCGAGTGCATGCCCATGACGTGGCCATGTAAGGGCTAGGCGGGGGTGCCACGTCGCGGGACCGCTAATTTTAGATCCCGTGCTTCCAGGAGTCGACTCGGCGAATCGGCAGCTGGTGATTCGACGAGCTGCCCCGCTACTGTTGCTGCTGTCTCGCGCGAGCACGTGAGTCCGGTACAATCGTGCAACATTCACCGGTCATCCCTCTTCTCACTTTTCCTGTCTTGGAGAAGACCGATGTGTTCAATCGTCCCCTGGTCCACAATCTCGCAGTCCCTCTTTCCTCGAAATGCTAGAACACGGTTGATCGTGAAAAACTTCTCATTACATATGTATATGACTGGGTCGTTAAAAGAAGTCGTGTCGAGCTACTAACTTCTTGCGCAAATTTTAATTATCTATTTAATTGTTACAAATTTCCAAGCATAAGTGTATATAGTCCCAGAAAGTACATGTTCCTAAAAGATGACTAAAAAACAACTTAAATGTCTTATTATCTTTTAGACATCTTTAAGATGTCTTTTGGCTTTTCTGTGCTGTCTGGGGTATGTATGTTTGAAAGTTCAATGTATATGTATATAAAGAGTATTTTTACTTTTGATCGTAGAAAGAATATCTTTTATTCTTAGTGCGACTACCCAAGTAGCAAGATGACGTCAAATAACGTTTTAATGACGTCTTATTGACGTTAGAAACGTCATTAAGACGTTATTTGACGTCATCTTGCTACTTGGGTAGTTGCAAGAGTTAATTGAGTTCCTCACTGATTTTGAGCTCTCGCACAAAACGGAACACGATGTCAAAACGAGAAGAAACGGAAATAGAGCGGAGATTTTGGAAAGACTTCTCACATAGAAAAAGGACCACAAGTAAAAACGCATTCGATGCATCCTTTCGTTTCCGATGTGGAAAGGGGAAACGAACGGGCGCGCGTCCCTTTGAGCGCGAGTTGAAGCGGCAGGGGGTAAGCTGAGAGATCTGGCAGCGGCTGGTGCAGCGGATGTTTGAAGCTGCTGAAGAAAGCGGTGGTTCCTGTTGTGGCTTCCCTCTCGCCGCCGCTGCCTCTCGGTCCCTCGCGAGGCCCTCCTCCTCCCGGTCAGCGTTAACACACCGCGTAGGAAACACATTTCGGCGGATGTGATGTTTAGGACAGAGAGAACCACCCCGCGACTGACAAAAAGCCCAGCGCCCTGTATAAATAGGCGGCGATGCAGCGGTGGTTGTTGCCACCGCGGCCTAAAACGATATCGTGCGCTTTGACCTAGATAAGTCGGATTTGATTGTTTGTGAAGCGAGAAACGGACAGCCGACCCCTTTTCCCGTTATAAAAACGTGCCTTCGAAGAAAGGAAAATCATATCGATCGCGCAGATACGTCTCAACTTTCAGTTAAACGCGTTTAACACTTATAACTCAATTATTAATCGCTTAAAGTAACTCATGACGCATAAAGTTATTAAAAATTAATAATCCTGTATAGCTTCAAAAAATTCGGATAATAAACAATTTCAATTTTATTTCAGCAGATCCATTGCTGAATGGAAGACATTACAATCCCAGAAAGCACAAGGATGTCCTTAGGACGTCCAAAGGGCATCCAGGACATACATGTAGGATATCCTGAGGATATCCTATTTTAATCCTCGGATCTCCTCTGGATGTCCTGAGGAAGAATAAATGATAGCCGTACACTAGCCTCTAGAGAATCCAGGGAGATCCTGTGGAACACCTTAAGGATTTCTATAGGATATGTTAGGGATATTTTTCACACGTTAAAAAGAACAAATTCTAAAATTTAAATATAAATTAAGATTGCGTTCTGTTATTTACTGCCAATACTAAAAATCTAATACTAAAAATAGTTCACGTTCTTTAATATTTGAGGTTTTCGTGCTGTACATAAATATTTTAGGTTTGGCTTCCGGGTTTAAGTCGTGTAATATTTTCAAAACAATCCAATATCTGAATTCCCTATGTTGGGATTGCATCAGAAAAATTGAACTGATAAAAAATAATTATATTTTTAATTTCCTGTTAGTTGCTCTTTGCAAGCTTTATATAATTCTCATGACCAAATCTCAAATACGAGTTCGCGCGTCGCATAGCGGTAAACAAACGAACTAGCGGTTGAATACTATTTTTTGTAAAGTTTATGGAATGTTGCGCATAGTAACATTTCTCATGAAATATTAAATAAATAATAATTTTGAATATATGAAAATGTGCGCATCAAATTCAATTATTAATATTAAACGAAATTAATGTTAACAATTAATTGCACATGTATATGTCCTCTGGAAATCCAAAGGACATTCAATATAATAGACAGGGCAGATATCCTACAGACATCCAGGGGTTATCCAGGGGACATTTATAGGACATTAATACTTATTACAATACTTAAAATTTCTAAATTATATTAAATAGCCTACATAACCGAAAGTAATCATGTATGCATATTAAATTTTCATAAAATATATTTATAATAATATCTTAAAACATCCTACAAATATCCTGAACCATCCTGGACATATTCAGGATGATCCTGAGGACGTTTTGTGCTGTCTGCGAATATTTATAATGCTTGTGATTTTTGATATAATTTTTGAATTATTATCGATTCTCTCGCCAAAAAGATTCGTATCTTATTTTTTATTCAGGAATGGAAATCTCTGAATTCCAGATGCCCGAGAGGAAGAATTAAATCGAAACTGTTAAAAGCGCGTTCACGAGTTTTTTTTATATGTCCAACACGCGTGGGTTGACGTCTCTTCGGGCTCCTGCTGAGGCATCTCCTGAGAGACCTCCCGGCGTCCGGCATGTGCACAAGCAAGGGCCCTCCTCTCTGGTTTTCGAATTGTTTCATCCGTTCATCGGTCTTATTATTCAAAGAATGCGTGAAAGAAGTCAGAATCGAGCCCGAAGACCAACGCAAAGTTCACACCTCCTCAGCATCCTCTGCGGGATTGTAAATAGATTCTTCTTCTGGTCGGCTACGTGTAACATGTTAACACCGTGGGAGAGAATGAATGGGACCACCAACCACTTACTGATAACCACATGTCATATTTAATTAATGCCGGCAATATGAAGATATCGATTTATAAATAGATATATTACCTTGGAAAAAAGAGTTTATGTAAATAACATTTTATTATAAAACAGTTTATATATATATATAATCTCGGAGATTTTTATAATTATTCTATAAACTGCAGCGATGTGTAACTTTCTTTTTAAATGTTCAAGTGTAAAAAAAGCGGTGTTAACATAAAAATCGTAAATGTGCAATCGAAAACGGCAATACAACAGTGCGTGATGCATAGTCTCTTATGGGGGTATCACCTGCTCTTATTGTTTAACCGTACGGAATGAGCCGACGTCCGGTGCTGGACCAGATTGCGGCCGGCAATGGCGCGTGCCCGATTCGCGGAAATCCGACACTCTTACTTTTACGACATTTGCACGGTGCACAAGGGCTTAAAAATCTCTTCAGAAAAACTGCACCCATCCCATGGTGCGATATGTGCCCAGAAGTATCGTGCTTGTATACGTATATCTTGGATGTATATACATATAATGATTTCCATTACGACTTCATTAAATTAATTTTTTTTCTTGGTAGAAGTGCGCATATTATTTTTTATAAAAATTTTTTTTCTTGATAAAAAAAAACAATTTTTCTTTACAAATAAGATTGCAAATGAACAAGTTTTCATTTAAACTTCGGGGAAAGCGAAAAAATAATAAACGTTATTATTAATCACAGATAAAAATTATTTTAATAAAGTTTTATGATTCTATAACTCTTTATGAGAAAAAATATATATAATTTAATAGAAATATTTAATTTCAAATATTAAATAGTGTTATATAAAGAGATCTCAAAATGTGAAAGTTTTGAATAACATGGTTTTCATATCAAGAATGTCGTAGAGCCACTTCGGTCTAAAGGCTACATCCAACCGATGCACAAATTGATGCCCTTCAAAGACATATGTAACCTGTTAAAAAAGTTCTTGATAATTATAAAAGTGCGTGATTTATATCATTTAACACGCAATTATCTATACGTCAAACCTGGCTAACATTCTATACTTCAGATATTTACAACTTCGTATAAATATATCTCTCACAATCTGTATTTTTTAAATATTTATATTGTATTATATTCGAACTCTGTAATAAGGCATGTGTTAAAATGCAATATTACCCGACATTACCCAGATCTACTTGTTCTAGGCCGATACGTAAATCTCCTGTACATACAAGACAAAAAGAAGAGAGAAAGAAAAGAGCTGAAAATATACATAACAAACTAACGTCGACTGGAAAGTGCGACGGCTGCACGCGACTCGCCGCGATGCAAAAGAACACGCTGACAGTCACATATGGCTCCGGATATGCCGGTGTGGGTATGCTCCAGAGAACACGATACAAATAAAATTCGGCGGTCCCTTCTCTGTTGAGACCGATAAAGTCTACATGAAACATCCAGTTCTGTAGAGCCTGCAAAAGAGATTAATAAAATGCATTTGTTTCGCTTTTTTATTCTCATGATCAATCTCAGTTTTAAATTGCACCGGTAATTGATTCCATCTGAGCATTTCTTCTTTTACACATCGTAAGCCATTTCGCACATTAATTTTTCCACACGTGGGCCATTTTATTCCAAAGTAATTGAACGAGGATTGATAATCCTGAATGCATTAAAAGCGATCAATAGAAATAACGATTAGAAAATTTATAGCTCTCCCTTGTAATATAGATAATTTTTATAATATTAAACTATATTATATAAATATATATATATATTCAATTGCATAATATAATTGATAATAATGATAATAATGATAATAATGTCTTATTAACATTTATATTAATCCGATCTTTTCTTTTGTGAGCCAATATTGCACAATAATTCGGGCATTTATAAAAGGTATATACGGGGGATGATATCGATCCAATGATAACGTATAAAAGCGTATAGAAATTATATATAAAGTTGTATATATACGCTATAATTGACACACACGTAAAGGTTAACAAACCATGACAGCAACAATCTTTATTGCAGCAGTAATCGCGGAATCGATAAATCTTCTCACGAAATGTGTTACATCTTGACAAGATTCAAACTGATGTTCTTTCGCAGACCATATATTATATACCGATCGCGTCTTTTGCATAATCATTTTAACTAAATATTTTGCAGGGTAGTGAATATATATATATATATCTTCGAGATTTCGATTATTTATTTCGCCGAATTATTATATATATATATATTGATAACATTTTTTCACGTTCTTCGCGTAAATAAAAAAGGAGAACTCGTTTATACGCAGATTTCATGCATTCGCCATAATTATATAAGAAGGTTTATCGTGTGTGCGTGATATACGTATATTTACCTACAATCGTATACAAGATACCTAGACACATATACGATAATTAAATATGTATACATTTACGCCGACTTTAATCCAAACGAATAGTTCGTAATACTATATCTTTAAAGCTCATATTAACAGTCGGTTTTAGAGTGATTAGAATGGTCATGTTGATTGCGCGCAGCTTTCGTAGACGCTTCCAATCCCGTCACAGCCGCTAGTACTTCAAACAGGCTTTCCATCAATCTGCCAAATATTTCTGACATCTCGTCGTCTTTCCTAGTCACTACAAATATATCTAAAACATATGGAAAATATATAAGTCAACATTTATTTCGCTTATTGTTATAATCAAAAGTGTAAATTATGCAAATATCTTAAAAATCAGCAGCGAGTATATATGAAAATATACTATATTTAATTAATTTTTTTTTTTCAATATAATTATGTGCTAATATTTTCCTTATTGTCATCTTTCTTGTTCGAGTTATATAAAAATATGCGCAAGATATAAAATAACGCAAGAGTTTTAAACTTACCCGATCTATCCTGACCTATATATTTGCAGTACATATTAACGGCAGTTGTCACATCATCGTCATCATGAAAAGGATCACCGGGCCATTGTGCTCTGTGCAGTCTGACAGCTTCGAGTGCCGGACACCACCGTGCATTTCTCAAAAGTTCGGCGATTCTGGCGACTTCTTCCACGGCTCCGGTACCTGGCAATGGACTAGGACTGGGTGTTGGAGTGGGTGTTCCTCGTTCACTTTCAGTGCTCTCTTCGAGCGCTCTACTTAAAGTTATCTTCATAACGGCGATCTCGACGGATAGGTCCTGCAGAGGAATCTGTACGTTTCTAGCGGCGGTCATTAATGCTCCTAGCATTTTGTTTGACGCTTCAATTAACAACAAAAGTTGAAAATGCAACTTATAGAGCGCTCTGCCGAGATCCAATAGCATTTCTTCAATGCCCGCTTCTGTGGTGTGACTATCCCCTAATGCCTGAAGCTTAGCGGTTGCTTTAGCTGCCTCCAAACACTAAAAAAAAAAACAAATATTATAATATATATATATATAGTGTGTGTGTGTGTGTGTGTGTGTGTGTGTGTGTGTGTGTGTGTGTGTGTGTGTGTGTGTGTGTGTGTGTGTGTGTGTGTGTGTGTGTGTGTGTGTGTGTGTGTGTGTGTGTGTGTGTGTGTGTGTGTGTGTGTGTGTGTGTGTGTGTGTGTGTGTTTTAGATAATCATTACAAAGTATGAAATGCCAAACTTACTTCTGTGGCATGGTCCTTTCTATCGAGAAATGTTTCCAAATGTTCTTGCACCTCAAGCATTCCAAAGCGTAACGTTTCATTTAATCGCTGATTCGCGAATATAGCGACCTTCAGCTTTTGAACTCAGTAACTCGGCATGACTAGATAAATGACAACCCAAATGAGATGAAGCCGGGCTGCCGTTGCAGAGTAAAGCGCTCGCCTCGCGTGTTAGACCGACGGATTTGCTGCTCACATCCTAACGATATAAAACATAATTTTGTAATAATTTTTCACGAGAAAATGGAAATAACTGAAGATTAAAATATTTTGTCAAAAAATTTATCAATATTAATTTTCATAACACTTTCACGTTTCTCACTTTTCACTATTCTCATATTCTTCTTTCACTTACTCTCAAGATCTTGCTCAACAATTGAAAGAAACTTAAAGTATTGTATGGAGCTTGAGTGATAAGATTTTGAATTTGCTGCTTCCAGATCTCTTCAGCGTCATCTCGTACGACCTGTCGAAATGGCATCAATGCAGACAGATTGGGCGACGCGTTGCAGGGTGTCACATCGCCAAGATCTCCCGCGCTCGAGCCACTGTAGGCGGAAAGTTCGAGTAAATCGATTAATATACAAGTTTCCAAAAATTTTCACACAGAAACTTACGATGTGTCAGACCTTGTGGATGAATCGTGACGCGTACGACTAGGTATCAATGAGAGAGAGGACGGCGGGAATATTCCTGGGATGCTATTTGCTTCCTGGCCCGTGCCGGATACACCTCCTGGTACTTCATCCAAAGGTGATTCCGATCCGGCTTCATCGTCTGATGACTCTTCGGCCACACCACGCTATACATACAAAATTTTAAGAATAAAGAAGATATTAAAAAGAAAAAAATAGGATACATATTACAAGCAAAAGATCATATATAATAAAGCAAAAGTTATTTTTTAGTTTTATATATTTACCCGTGTTGTATGTTTGCTGGATGATAGTGTTTTTTCACTTAAACTTTCCTCGAACTGTCGTAAACTGGGTTCTCGTTCCTCTCCCTCACTAAGAGGACGACGTCGAACTCCCCAGTTGAAATTATCCGTACTCTCACCCTGTAAAGTTTCATAGAAAGCGATTGAGTTAGTATTCTTTATATTCTCAGAAATTACAATAAAGCATCATGGCTTACTTCAACACTTTCACTTTCATATTCAAGGAAGTCAAAGTCCTTAAATACGCCAAACTGCTCGTCATCCCGTCTAGACCCTCCGCTCAAATCGTTATTCGCACCGGAAACCTCTTCCGTTGAAGAGGCCATGGATGATTGTCTTTCCATCAAATCCGAACTTTGACTGAATATAACCTAAATTAAAAATATTATTGATAACGCATGAAAAACATATATATAACGCAATAAATTGAAGAAATGAAAAGCAAATATATGTGACAACTTTTTTAATACAAAATCGATAATTATAATATTTCATATTATTGGCTCAATATTCCTGGGATGCTATTTGCTTCCTGGCCCGTGCCGGATACACCTCCTGGTACTTCATCCAAAGGTGATTCCGATCCGGCTTCATCGTCTGATGACTCTTCGGCCACACCACGCTATACATACAAAATTTTAAGAATAAAGAAGATATTAAAAAGAAAAAAATAGGATACATATTACAAGCAAAAGATCATATATAATAAAGCAAAAGTTATTTTTTAGTTTTATATATTTACCCGTGTTGTATGTTTGCTGGATGATAGTGTTTTTTCACTTAAACTTTCCTCGAACTGTCGTAAACTGGGTTCTCGTTCCTCTCCCTCACTAAGAGGACGACGTCGAACTCCCCAGTTGAAATTATCCGTACTCTCACCCTGTAAAGTTTCATAGAAAGCGATTGAGTTAGTATTCTTTATATTCTCAGAAATTACAATAAAGCATCATGGCTTACTTCAACACTTTCACTTTCATATTCAAGGAAGTCAAAGTCCTTAAATACGCCAAACTGCTCGTCATCCCGTCTAGACCCTCCGCTCAAATCGTTATTCGCACCGGAAACCTCTTCCGTTGAAGAGGCCATGGATGATTGTCTTTCCATCAAATCCGAACTTTGACTGAATATAACCTAAATTAAAAATATTATTGATAACGCATGAAAAACATATATATAATGCAATAAATTGAAGAAATGAAAAGCAAATATATGTTTTTTACAACTTTTTTAATACAAAATCGATAATTATAATATTTCATATTATTGGCTCAAAAAAAAAAATTTTGCAATAATAATCAATATTACAACATGCACTTATATTTTATTGCTTCTCAATTAAATCCCTCAATTGCTAATTGCCTTGAATATAATGTTTCAATTCCAATTGACTATGTGAGTTTGTTCCAGATATTTAACAATTGTGCATATACGTGTTTTACAATTACTAATTATATATGCAAAGTGCTCTGCAATTATATATTTGTTTCTATCAGATTCTAAGAAATAAGCAATTTTAATATCAAAAGATAAACTTTTTTAACATTATGAGCCATGAAACAGTGACACATTAAATTTGTATTTAATGTTTAAAAGTAAAAAACAGTTATGTATAATGATTTATCACTAAATTATTAAAGAGTTAACAATTAACATAATAATATTGGAGCAACCTGCATATATAATAATATACATATTAATCACGGACAATGATACATTATTTTATATCAATTGCACTGATATAACACGTTGTCGTCAAATGATAGTATTTATGAAGAAGTTATTAAGTATGTCATAAATGATTATTGATTGTTGGATTGTGTCAACAACCCTTGCTACAATCAGAAACTAATTTATTTCATTTATAGTTATCCATTTGTGAATTGTTAATTAATGACTTTCCTTCGTATATATTGAGTAATTTTATATAGCAATGATCAAAATACAAACTAAAAATATTAACATAATATTATTTAAATTGGAGCAACCTGCATATATAATAATATACATATTAATCACGGACAATGATACATTATTTTATATCAATTGCACTGATATAACACGTTGTCGTCAAATGATAGTATTTATGAAGAAGTTATTAAGTATGTCATAAATGATTATTGATTGTTGGATTGTGTCAACAACCCTTGCTACAATCAGAAACTAATTTATTTCATTTATAGTTATCCATTTGTGACTTAATTAATGACTTTCCTTCGTATATATTGAATAATTTTATATAGCAATGATCAAAATACAAACTAAAAATATTAACATAATATTATTTAATAGGTGATTTTTTCCATAATTGCAGTAGACGACAAAGTGTTACGAGATAATAGACCTCAGATGTCTGTGTTGGACAGTTACACTACCACTTCATAAGATCCTACACAGACATACAAATATATTTTTTTGCTCCTGCAACAGTGCACCAAAATTTTTATGAAGCTAACTGAAGCGTGGAAGTATGATTCATAAAAAACATTGCTATTAATTACAAGTATAGATATTTCGTACTATTGTGGATAACAATGGACGTGTGCTGGTTGCATTTAAAAATGACCTTTTACCTTGCTATACAATGTCATTGAACTAATGTGCTCATCCTAGAAAGGGGTACATAATGAGAGTCAATTGTCTTCGATAAGGTATATAATCCGCATAGACCATAGGAAAGGAATGTTCACACTACTTGAATCAATAACCAAAAAATAATTTGCAAAATGAAAACATACCGATGGGCTCTTTGGTAATCCAACTCTCTGGCCACATGTTGTCAACAGGTTTACTAAACATTCTCTAACACGACCCTATTATAAAGAACGAATTTAATTTTACATTTTATATACATAATTCAATATATTTATACGCAATATATATACATTACATCATATTAATTAATAACTATACCTGTGACATCCAAGGTCTCTTCCATCCTGCAATGGCGCTATTGTCAGCCGGCGATAAAGATAAGGAGCAACATGGCGAACTAATTAATTTTTCTTCAACACCTTGACGAATCAACCAACGTCGACCGATTACTGGCGTTTGAGATAAATCGAATGTGAAGTCCATTGTCCTTCCTATTCATTAAAATGAGATAGACAAGTCTAAATTATAAATATTTAAAGAACTATGTAATAAGATTAATAAATCTACATTTCTACATATGTGATAATGTAAAAAAATAATCCTTTATGTATTTCTCTCTTATAAAACTTTTTAGCTCTATTAAAAAAAAGCTTCCAAATACATGTATCTTAAAAATTCAAGTAATCATAAACATAGGAGCATAAGTAATATATTCAAAGAAATATAATGTAATTTGAGAGATATAAATTATAGATTCTCTTAGAAAAATATTGTTTTACATATTTGTTTCATAAAGCGATTACAATCTATCGCTATTGTTATTTTTATCGCAACCTGGGTGTTGTATAATAAATCATCCGTGCCGTGCATGCATCACAAAAAGGAAAAAACAAAATCGATAATACATCCAGGAAAAATAAATACTCATTAATTTAAGTAGGTACGTGGACTTACCCGGTAGCTCCTTTTTCGTAAATATCTCTGTATCAGTGAAACTAGGATGTGGCGATGCCAGTGAAGAATCCCAGGATGAACCGTGCATCGACGTCGGTGGCGCTACGAGTGTCGACGATCTTGTCACTACAAGCTTCAAGATTTTAAGCGCTTCTTTCCAGTGAGTGCCCTAAAATATTTGTTTGTTTAATTGTACAAAAAAGATTACATATATCACAGTCGATTGATATGCTATATATTTTTAAAATTAGTATTGAAATGTTATTTGCGATCATAAAACTGATATACTTTGCCTCAATGCTTTACCTCAACATATTTAGAGATCACTCTTAAAAGTTCGGTATTGATGGGTTGTGCAGCTGGAGACGCTAGATCCACATAATGTAACATGCAATGTATAATACTGAGTACCGACAATGCCACACTGCTCGGACCTTTTTCTAGGACTTCCACAAGGAAAGCAAGCATATTGAAACTAAGATGAGCATACGAATCGTAAAGATATTTCACCACGCATTTAGTCCATTGAAAGCTTTCCTTGCTAAAAGTACGCCGGCTATATAATGTCATAACTGTACCAAGATTCTCTAATTTTTTCCCCTTTTCTGCGCTTACCTATGAGAAAGAGAAGAGATAATAAATAGCATAATACAACAATAAATTACACAAGTTAATTACAATAATATAATTAGTATATGTAGTACAATATATTACATTATATATTATTTTTATTAACATAACAAATAAGATATTAATAAAACAGTCTTACTTGTGCAATGTTTTCGGCGCTTCTGATGCAAAGTTCGTTAGCATCTTCATAATTCAACAGCATGTACGGCAGCAACGATACAACATTCATCGGGAACGCGAGGCTTTGCGTGGGGTCGACTACTGGTAGATCCAACAAAGGTGTAAATTGAGAGAGCAATGTAACGACAGGTTCATATGTATTCGGACTAGTGCATCCTTTCAATAAGAGCGCATGTACACCAGGAAACGAAGTCCACCGTAATTGTTGTTGTAATTTCTCAACTTTGTCTCTGGCGTCTGGTCGATCAAGCGGTAGTCTGTGCAACACGCGACTAAGAAGTCGCAGCGCTAAAAGGAACTCGTGTTCGTAATCCGATTCAAGCAGAGACACCGCTAACCAAAACAGTTGTGCTAATATCGTCATCTTGTCGTCTTGCGTCGCGGAATCGCCCAATAATTTCAAGGACTGTGCTGATCTTGATCTCGACAGGTTCGAATTGGGATATTTATTACCGCCGACTCTGTTGTCAACTTCTGCAATAAGAATATTCTCTTTATGAAAATCTTTGTAAACTATAATTAAAACTCAATTTAAAGCTAATAGAAAAAGTTTACAATGTGATTATTGCAAGAATCATTATGTAATAATAACCTTTCATATCGCTGGTCGTAGAATTGCCACCGCTGGACCTTTTCATACAATAACTGACTGAGTAGCTAGTGCTTCTTGTATGTCCGCCTTGATTTAAGTGAGAGAACATGTGCGGTCCAACCGGATAACCGTTCCCTCCACCTGGACTGCGTTTTCCTCCGATTACATTTCCCGACACAGGATCCTTATTGTTCAGATTAGGCGTCGACTTGAAGATCTCTTTCATAAAATCGAGCGGTCTAAAATCCGATTCGAGCGAATCGACAGCTGCTTCTAATGTTAGCAACAACTCTGTTACGTATCCCTGATGCAAAAAAAAATACACAGAATATATATATAGTCATAGTATGTCACACTCTTACTCGCATTAAAAATTAAAAATTATGCTTTTAAAAATGTTTAACGGTACCTGCATATCCTCGCCTTGCTCGGCGACTGTTTCCACCAATCTGGATAAGATATCGGACAACATCCTAGATGTTATAGGAACACGCAACGCACGAAAAACTTGCAAAGATCTTCCTGCATAGTGTCTGGATGAGCAAGAAAGACCCAATTGCAGTGCCGTTTGTGCCCATCTTTGGCTGACTAATGCATGAGGCAACGAATCTCTAAAGACGCGTAACACGTGTCGTAATAATACTGTGAGTTGCTCGGCACTACGCACCCACCATACTTTGGCAGTCATGTCCTCGTAATTCCACAGCGGTTGGTTTGTTCTATTATTAGAAAATTATATTAAATTCAAAATCTTATTCGCCCATGTACGTAATTAATTATATGTACCTAGATGCTAGAAAATTAATCAAGGATTTAATAACGTCCTGTATCGGCATATTGGGACCTGGTTGAGGTCCGGTCCAATTGTTCGCATCTTCCGGAGTTACAATGACGGGCGGTACTGTGTTCGTTGTCGTTCCGCTCGAGATTGGCCAGCTATTGCATACTGCTGATTCTGCAAATTTGTTTATTATTTCTACTAATTTTTTGTGAAGATTCAAGATATATGTATGGATATCTTACCGTACGCGTGAGAATTCCCATAATCTTTACTGTCATCTGCTGCCGACTGATTCCCGTGATTCATCGACAACGGCGGGGTCGATGTCGAATTTGATAAAGACGAATGAGTAGGTGTACTGTCCGCAACTGAAGAAGAAGGTAACGGCGGCGGAGGTGGAGGAGGTGGAGGCGGCGGAGGTACCGACAGAGATGCTGAAGAATCGAGAGGCAAAGGCGGTGGCGGAGGCGGTGGCGGAGGAGGTGGCGGGGGCGGGGGCGAAGAGGGTGGAGGTGGCGAAGATGATATTGGTGGAGTTGTGGGTGGCGGAACTGGTGGAGGACCATACAGGTAACTGTCGAATTCCGGGTCCACTTCCGTAAAGTTGTGTTCCAGCACTGGCAACGCCGGTGTGGATAATCCCAATCCCAATTGTTCCGTCTTGGAGGCAAGAAGTACGCGTGCCACACCAAGATGATCGCGATGATCGCCAAGCACGACCAATAGATTCAGCAACAGGCAACGACAGTGATCCCGCACCAATGGCCTCGAGTGATCTAATCCAAGAAAGACTATGTGCAACATCAAAGGGACGTGTATGGCCCAATCCAGCTGAATTCCGTCGACGACTACATCAGTGAGCAACATCACGGCGATATTGCACCTAAGAGTTACGGTAAAGAAGAATGATTAACGTACATTGCTCGGCAAAGTAAACAAAAATTTAAGTATTGGAATTATACCTGTGGAATCCGCTTATTGGCTGAGAACTGTCAGGCAAATACTCAGTTAAAGGAGCAAAATATCCGCCGTATTCTGGCATCGGTAAAGGATGCGGTTGAGGAATATCGAACTTCTCGTCGACACATGGCATTTTTCCATTTACTCCAACGGGCCCGTTACGAGCGGCGTAACACGATTCGTCGGTAGTTAACTAAAATAGATTAATTACTTTCATATTGGATCGTTAAAAGAATTAATTTCTTAATTAGTTAATATCTTTCCGAACTTTCTCTACTTCGCAATTGAAAAGTGAAATTTTTCAATTATAGAAATTTATGATCCTTTATATCCTTTATTTGCTAAGCGTCACCAAGTTTTAATTGAATAATAACCTCGGCTTCCGTAGTCGGAGTTGATAGATCGTCTGGAAGAACTGGCGGACCGCTTGCAGTCCTCGTCTTTTCCGCCCTTGGAGTTTGAAACCCCGCGAGTGCTCGTAGCGCGGTATCGGACTTGGAACTATGGAGAAAATACAAATGTCAAGAAAAACCATATTAAACTTTGCATTACTATATAAAAAGTTTATATTTTAAAATAACTGCTCTCTAAAGATATTTTTTTAGACCTGCATTTTTTTAAATTAAAATAAGATTTAATTTATGCAATCTCGATGATGAATAATAGATTTCAGTAAACTTAGTTATTTACCCGGTTTTGACGGGATCTTCTCCGGAATGTCTTTTCGTATGGATGGTACCTTTCTCGACGCCGAGATCACGGGGAGGATTGGCAGGATCGGCCGCTGGAGCGTCGCTATGCGACGAGGCTTTCCGCATGCTGGTGAGCCGATAAAAGGGTGGCGTTTCCGTCCGTTCAATTAAACAATTTAGAGTCTCGACCGTTTCTAATTCCGTCATCATTTCATCGACGAGACGATCTGGACGAGCCCGTGCCAGATACAATACAACACGTTTCGCCTGATAAATAACATTTCGATACTTTCAAAGATTACATCTCTGTCACTTTACTGCGAGTAAAATCATCCCAAAAGTTTCACTTACATATGGCAGCAGTTCTTGAGGCGCCATCCCCGAGATGATAATCAAATAGCGTATTATAACTTTGAGATTGTTCGGCCAGCAACCACATAAAGTCGCCCAAAGTTCCTCTGTCTCTTTAGGATGCTCATCCGAAAACTGTAATATATTTAAATCGATGTTTTAAATAATGCTTAACGTGATAACAACTAAAGCATTTTACCTTTGCTGTGATGTAAAAGAGATTATTGAGCACCATCTCCGTCGCTTCTGCGCTGCCCCAGCCTTCTCTACGTGTTCCTCCACGTGTTACATCGCTCGTGTAATACTGTTGAAAACGTTAACCATTTAAAAAAAATACAGAGTAAGATCTTGTAAATATTTTTTTAGATAGTTCTTGGATAAAAAATCACTAGCAAGTTATATATATATATATTTATAAAGACTGAAATTCTAGCTACGCTCTACTGCGAAAATTATTTCATTAAATTTAACGATCTGTTTGCAAGATATGACAGAACAGCTATTATTAATCTAATATTAATCATTTGCATATCGTAATATTATTATTACTGACAATTGTGAAAGTATCAAAGGAAAGGTGCGGGTATTGGAAATCGATTACAATAACGCTTGCATGCAAAGCGAATTCTCTCGATGACCATTTGAATTATTTCCCTCTCCCTACACTCCTCCACCTCTATTGATTAAAGCTATTACTATCATTAATAATCGAACAGTTTAAATGGAAAATGAATGCAATGAGTATGTTATGCTCTCTCTCTTTATTAAATTATTTGAATAGCTATGGATTTTATTTTCAAAAATCAAACGCACCACATTCTACGCCGCTTAAGTCGCGCTTTATCGTTTCAGTTATATTATTCGCAATCAAACTAAAAATAAAGATAGGGATTACGATCATTGATAATCGCGCGGAATAAAAAGAGATCTTGGAGACGCCGGGTATCGATCCCGGTACTTCTCGCATGCGAAGCGAGCGCTCTACCATTTGAGCTACGTCCCCGATGTTCGACATGATAAAGAGAATGATTACGATCGTCGATGATCTCATACGATAAACGATATTAAAAAGAGATATCTTAAAGATTGATCTCGGTACTTGTCGCATGCGAAATCTTCTACCATTGGACCTCTTCGCAATTATAATGATCAAAAAAAATCACATTATGATTATTGATAACCGAATGATATGTAAAACAAGATCTTGAATATATATTAGCTTTCGATTCCTAAAGTTTTCGTGTGGAAAATGAGTATCTCCCATATTAAAAATTTATCTAATATTAGAAGTCTATAATTAATGAAATTGAAATGATTATTATTATATTTGATAGTTGTAAGATATGTGCCAAGTGTCATAATGAGATTATCATCATATCTTTTTACCGAAAGTTCTGTGTATATTTTTAACTATATGAATATACGTATATATTTTATAAATTTTTGTATATGATTTTTCATCATATTTCTAAATTTTTATTATGTAATGCATCAATTTCAATATTTTTTATTGTGATTAATATTTTTTTATATTTTTATTAAAATTCTCTATAGTCTTGTCTGATAAAACAATATTCTTTACAAAAGGGTCATATATGTTTACCGTATTTTATCATTAAATTTCTGTTCATGCATACTTTGTGACATTCACGTGTTTGCGAACCACATTGAAATCGGAATGCTATTCTTAACTTGTAGTTTGCTTTGATGATTGTTTAACAGTTATTTGTAAATTTATGTTCAATTTCCTCGAAGGCCAATCGAACTACGATTCGACAAGATTCCAATACACTTCCATAATTGTGAAATCAATCCGTCTTAATTGAAAACCAATACCTATATAGTCCATGTGTATACGATCGCCAGATAAAAATCACCGATATTTAAAATGATAAAGCATCAATTTTACATCAAGTAAATGAGAGGAAGACTGAGATAGTGTATTTTGCAAAATGCTACGATCTTCCAAGATGATATTTAATGTTTCTAGTCAGAAATAGATCACTTATAACTTTCCAAATAATCATTAAGATCAAAAACATCACGATGGCATAGCTCGTTAATTTTATATAAGCGATGCATTAGAATGAGCATGAAAAGCTTTCATCGTCATATCTGAAGTTCCTTTCATCAATCAGAATTCAAAATGATCATTAAAATCAAGTACGTCATGAAACGTCATGTAGCGCATTTTACACATGCAAAGCGGCAAGATAAATACTAGGAAATCTCTCAAAATCATATTTAAAGCTTCCTTCTAAAAGTAGATCATTCATAATATTAAAAAATGATCGTTAAAATCAAGTGTAATCAGGGGGCGTAGCTCAGATGGTAGAGCGCTCGCTTAGCATGCGAGAGGTACCGGGATCGATACCCGGCGCCTCCAAGATCACTTTTTGAATCCTTTTACTGAAAGTGGATCACGATCGCGATTTAAAACAATCCTGCCCACAATCTAGATCACAGGGGGCGTAGCTCAGATGGTAGAGCGCTCGCTTAGCATGCGAGAGGTACCGGGATCGATACCCGGCGCCTCCAAGATCACTTTTTGAATCCTTTTACTGAAAGTGGATCACGATCGCGATTTAAAACAATCCTGCCCACAATCTAGATCACAGGGGGCGTAGCTCAGATGGTAGAGCGCTCGCTTAGCATGCGAGAGGTACCGGGATCGATACCCGGCGCCTCCAAACTTTCTTTTTGCTTTTTTGTTGAAATTAAATTGTTTATGGCATACACAATGCATAATAAGAATTTAATTTATCATCATGAAACGAACAAAACTCTTTCATGCAAGGTTATCTGAAGCAATTTCTCCGGCACCTTCATAACACGTGTAATTCATTTTTTCAAACAATAATTTTGTTTTTCAAAGTTGCTCGTGTTATTTTATGTGTTTGTTTATGAATAAAGAGATGTATTCGTTATGCATTATGGGAAATGTTGTCCAATTAAAAGCTTGCAAAGTTTGGTTATCTCATCAACTTTCCGACAATTGAAATGTATAATCCTTGAAATATGACGAAAAGATTCCAATTCTAGTAAAATATGGCTAAAATATATGAGTTTGCAGTGTTTTATAAGCTCTCGAAAGATAACATTATATGTAATATATATCACTTTTAGTGATAATCTTTTTATCGATTATATTAGCTCTTTTAAATATTTTTTGTATTTAATTGCAGATTATAATTTTCCGCATTGCTATTATTCCAGAGATAATTATGATAATGAGCTTTATTCACCTGGTAATAACTCAACGGATTAGATGGTGGTGGTACATTAGGATCAACAAGTTCCATATTATGTAACCAGGGTAGCAAATACTGCAGCAATAATTGCCGAACTTCTCTACGGGCTGTTTGAAATCGATGTGTAATTTCTGAAACATGTAAATTATCGAGATATTAAATGAAAACCAAATCACATCAAATTACATCAATAATCTATGATTACCGGCATATTTTCTTTTATTCGACATTAATTATAGTTAAATATTAAGCTATCATTGACACTGCAAATTTTATTCTAAACCTATGTAAATCCATATAAATATACATCATTTTATAAATTTATAGTATTTTCTAAATTTTTTTCTCTCGTTCTGTTTATTATTTAAATAGATTCAATTATTACATTCAAATATATCTGTTGACGATTGTTTTAGATAATATATGTGAACATTTAATATTTTGTTTTTGCCAAATTTATTCAGCTTTCTTTCATATCTTATCATACATATATATATCTGAAATCATTTAAATATACGACGGTTGTTTTGCAACTTGAGTAAATTTAATGCAAATGACTTTGTTATTCTCTTCCTCTCTCTCTCTCTCTCTCTCTCTTACTCCCTTCCATTTTGCATTTAATTAATTCGTATACCGATTATATGAACATATTTGCAATATTGCTTTTTACGGTATTGATATAATGTTCCATTTGAAACAGCAAGATGTGGAAGAACATTCGTTATTTTCATCGGCATAAATAACATACTAGTTTTCAGAGCATGTGTGCACGCGTAAAATCACATGGAATTATTTCCATGACTACCTGCAATTATCTGCGGTTGTTTCAATAATGCTGCCTACTCTCTCATTGCGCTTCTGTATTTCAAAAATATGTGTGTGTGTGTGAGATTACATAAAACAATTAACATAAATATTTCATTCTCTTTCTCTACAATTCTTTTCCCTTTTGTGTGATATGATTCTGTACAGTAACATTATATCAATTATTAATACAATATCTTTGTTGTTCTAATTTATAATTTTAATTTGAAATATAAACCTGAAATATGAGCATCTTTATTTTTTTCACTTCTACAGAGATATGATTTTTTTTATACAATATAGATTGTACGAAATATAAGTTTGTTTGATCAACAGCTAACATCATTTGTAAATTTTCTCTTATATGCTACATTATGAGTAATTTCCATCAAATAATTAGCTGTAATGCAGTCTTTTCTCTCATATGCTAGTTTATGAATAATTTTCATCAAATGATTAGTTGTAATCTAGTTCTTTCTCTCATATGTTAGTTTATGAGAAATGTTTATTAAACGTTTAGTTGTAATTTAGTCCTTTAATTAATTTATACATACTTGTCGTAAATATTTGAGAAAGAGTTTACAATTAATACTAGTTTCTGTTTTGAACAAATTATATCTACGTTACATTTATTTTGTTATTATATGTAGCTATCTCGTTTATATATTTTTAGTTTTAATTTAAAATGTTTTATCGTGTAAAAATCAATGTATAAATATAAAATTAAATTATTACATATAAAAATAAAATTATATAATCTATTAGTATACTATGATTAATTTTTCTGAACGCACATTTACAAGCTCAGAAATTTTAATTTATAAAAGAAAAACACTGTCTAAACAGAGAATATCTGAATCAAACAGTCTATTAAATTTTATCAATTCTTTAAAAAATATAACCATCGAAAAGTTATACGAATAAAAGATTTTTTCTTTAAATAAAATAGAATTTTTTTATTCTTGTATTGCACACTGCTATCGAATGTGATATCATATATAGAATTCAACGAGCTAAAATTGCCACTTCATGTTACATCGTTCCGCAAACAAAATGTTCGGCGCTTCGAGCGTAATAAAACAAACAAATGTAACCAATTTGCCAGAAATGTGTAAGACAGTAATTAACTAAATAGAATTATTTTGAGTTCTTGTTGCACGAATTTTTTTGTCTTTCTCCCTCTCTCTTTCTTTTGTAAGCACACGTGCCACATCAATCTTTCATGCTTTTTAAACATCCATTAAAATGATCCGTGGCATGAAGGATGTATGACAGAATGCGTCACAAAATTAAAGCGAAGAGCAGCAATCTATTATGTAAACAAGAACGTTGCAACTTGATATGTCTTGCAACTCATTAAAAGTGATTAAAGGTGATTCTACTTAAAAGGTTAAATTCATAAGGGTCACGGTTTCTCTTATTGTTAGTCTTCTACAAGTGTGTCGTTCCTGGATTTTATTTAAGAAGCTAATTCCGCGAACAACAATCCAAAGAACATTTCAAATTCGTTTGTTTTGTTATTAATCACAAAAAATTAAATTTTAAGGATTAACTAATCAATTTTAATTTCAAATTCTTTAATTCAAGTTTTAAATTCAAAAATTTTGTTTTAAAATTTTTCGAAATTTCTGTGTGCGACTTATTTTTTTTTTTTTTTAATTTTTTGGAAATATTTGAAAATTACTTTCAAAGTTAAGAAAAATATACAGAGTGTCTGATAATAATCGCCCCATCCGTAATGTGCAGGTAGAACAGGTAAAACCGGGGAGAAAAGTCCTTTACCATTTTGTGATTTTCGCAATAATTATTGAGAAATTAATTAAAAAAGATCAATCAAATCACGCGAGTATTAGCGCGCGGCGAGAAAGGACGGCCCAAAGGATTGATATGCAGTTGCTAGGACACGAGAATTCAGCGTTATTTACCGCTCGTACGTAACCGTTGTCATTTGTAGAATGCTCCTTCTAAAACTTCGTCGCGCGCCTAACGACTATAAACTTTTGGGTTGTCTCTTCTCGCTACGCACTTATACTCGCGCGAATTAATCGATCTTTTTAAATTAATTTCTAAATAATTATTACAAAAATGGCAAAATAATGCAAGACTTTTCTCCTCGGTTTCACCTGCTCTACCTGGCACACGACGGATGGGACGGTTATTATCAGACATCCTGCATACTTTCTCAAATTCTTAAAAAAGGGAGTTAAATCGCTCTGCACTGAGTTCATCAGCATTTACATCATTAAAAATACGTAACAGCATAAAGAAACAAAAATATATATACTTCTTTGATAAAATTTAGCAATATATATTATTAATTGCACTGCAGTACACATGAAAATCTCTATATTCGAATTGTAACTATTACACTGATAAATGAATCATTTATGTGATAGATGATTAAAACGCCACGTGCTCAATAGATGCAATCTTTCAACCCTATCAATCAAAAACTCATATTTCATTTCTTTATAAATTCTTGGATCCTGTGGTATATCATACAGATATCTATTGTTTGATTGGTGTGTATTTTTGTATTACAAATAATTGTATTGTGCGTTTTATACATTGTAATATTAAACTAACTTTTAAAATATATCCTTTGTTGACGCGTTACTCTGAATTATAAAATATTGATGCGAATTCCCCTATTAATAGGCGTTAAACAGATCAGCGATAATTCAATGTTTATATGATTTATGCAACACGCCTCCGGAACGATAATCGATGAGAGAATAGACATGTGAGAATTGTTATATTATATAATTAGCATTCTTTATTACATTCGTAGAATCAATTGTCTGTGCAAATAACTATAATTCTATTAAGATCGCACGACGCTGCATAAATTTGTGACTTTCTTATTGCGCGTGCGCTTCTATGATAATAAAAGCAAATAATTCTTTGTTTGTTTTAGTAATTCCACTGCGTTATAATCATCGTTATAATCATGTTATTTAGAACGCAAAATAAATTGCATTGCATAAACTACATTGCATAAATTGCATTGCAATGCAAATTCTTTTTCATATGTCAAAGCTTTTGAAAAACATAACAATTTTTTATCATAACGGATAGTATTCTATATTACGTAAATCTATAAATCACATTCAAACTGATTTTTTTTTAATTCGATTCAAATAATCCTTATTTTTATAAACACATTCACAAAATTGTGCATATTTTTTAAAGTTATAAGAAAATAAAAACAAATATAAAAATAGCTTTAAAATTATATACAAAAGAGATTCTCTCTCTTTGGATGTTTTTTTTTTTTTAATGTGTAAGTTTCTCATATAGTTCTAAAGTAAGCGTGTGTTAATATAAATACGCTATCTTCTACAGAAATAATATCAGCTTAAGGAAAAAGAATTGCAGAATTTTTATGCATTTAGCGTATCTGACAATTTACGATTAACATATTCTTTATTACATTGTTTCTAAAATATGTTTTCACATTACAACAATATAATAAATAAATAGAATAAAATGATATCTCAAAAATTTAAATACAAGAAAAAAATTAATTTTTAATTACAACTAAATAATTATAGCTCATGCAGAAATACTTCTCTATAATTGAAGTGCCCCGAACATATTCCACATACGCCTACATATACTAAAAAGTTTTTAATTATGCTATGTTATACACTGCGCTAAATTAAAATATATTAGACACGGCACAATATTAGAATTACAGAAAAACTAAATAAAACGATGTTTAATCAATTACATTTTGCATTTCGCGGAACAGATCAATCAACTCCAGCAAATACGGAGAACTGTAATTAACTATATCGAATTATATGTATCATAAGCAATTCTAAAGAAATATTAAGAAATTCTCAGCCTTTTATTTTTTTTTAAATTCTTAAAAACATGAAAACTAAAAATTTTATCTTTTAACTATACAAAACAATAATTTTTTTAAAATTAGCTTGATATGTTCAATTATAATATTATCATAAAACTATATTATATAAATAATTATAGCTCATGCAGAAATACTTCTCTATAATTGAAGTGCCCCGAACATATTCCACATACGCCTACATATACTAAAAAGTTTTTAATTATGCTATGTTATACACTGCGCTAAATTAAAATATATTAGACACGGCACAATATTAGAATTACAGAAAAACTAAATAAAACGATGTTTAATCAATTACATTTTGCATTTCGCGGAACAGATCAATCAACTCCAGCAAATACGGAGAACTGTAATTAACTATATCGAATTATATGTATCATAAGCAATTCTAAAGAAATATTAAGAAATTCTCAGCCTTTTATTTTTTTTAAATTCTTAAAAACATGAAAACTAAAAATTTTATCTTTTAACTATACAAAACAATAATTTTTTTTAAAATTAGCTTGATATGTTCAATTATAATATTATCATAAAACTATATTATATTACAAAATAAATCTTTGAAATTAGGGTTGTGAAAATATTAATGGAGATTCGACTTACCGCTGAACATCGGCATCGTGAGCTCCGGATGTAACTGAGCCAATTGTCGTGAAAGGTACATTTGACTGCGGCAATAAGTGGTTGATAAGAGGACATCTAATGTGCCACCTCTAATTGTACCACCGGAGGAAATTTCACCTGCAGGATTACTTTGTTGACCTGGTCCGGAAGTCACAGTTGCAGTGGAACTGGCAAGAGGGTCATTGTGTCCTGTGACAAAATATGTTAAAAATTTTGAAAAATCTATAATTATTTCTCTCTTTATTAAAAATTAATTAATAGAATTGGCAAATGGGTATTTATGTTATCTACGTTTATAGCGAACCAAATTGATATTTTTATAACACGTGCACATAGTGTACGATTTTTTTATGTCTAAATATATACTATAATTGTGTACTTTTTGCAAAAAACATCTTACATCAATAAATAACTTTTTCTCCGGCAAAAATCAAATATATATATTTGCAAGAAAAAAGAAACTCGTGGCACTTTTATGTTAATGTATTTCTGTATCAGATTCTTTTTCAATAAGCTCACATAAGTTTTTTTTATGATATGACAGAATAACATGCGCCGCGAAGAGCCGGAAATTTATATATGAGTTTGTTGCGCAGAAGCCAGAATGTTGGATGCACCAAGCTTTATCAGGAATGGATGCGTTGGCAGCTAGCAGAAATAGTTGAGACTGCACTCGGATACATTCTCTAAAAATGCAATATTAGTGTCCGAAAACTAAATGTTTCAATTAAATATTAAATTCATATTATTCTATCGTGATGCTTTTAATTCGTTGCTTTTCTTTTAAAGATAAAACGAAGTAGTGAAAGATATTGTGATTATTATATAATCCACTTAATCATTTATATTTAATTTTAATAAATGATTGTGTATTATTAAATTAAAGTGTCGCAAATATCTGAAATGAGAAATTTATTAAGTAATATCAATGAGAGACTGATAATCTTGCACCGGCACTAAATATAACACGTGTTGCGCGTATAAGAAGACTTTTTACATATTTTCGCAAAACATTAAAACTGTGTACGATCTTGCGTAAGATCTTACATCTAATGCGTAAGACTTATATATATTGAAAGGTTCAAAAGTGTTTGGAACATCGCAGTTAAAAGCACCTTTCATCATCATGTCATAAATTATATCTACAGAATCTGGATAGTAGTCCAATAAATGGTTTGTATCTGGCACTTTCCCAAATAAACCATTAATCCATTAATTAAAATAAAAAGATATGCATCAATTTCTGATATCTAAGAGTATTTGACGAGCCTTCTCAATTAATCGGAATGAAAAAAAAAGAAAACTGAAAAGCATCCATATTATACTTTTTAAAGGAAATATAAAACACGTAAAAAGAGAATAAATTTACTAAAGATATTTAATATAAATCTAATTATTTTATTATAATACTTCTATATAAATTCCTATGTAATTATATATACGTATATATAATTATCTCAACATAATAGCAAATTTTTTTATTTTTCTTTATAAAAAAGAAAAATTTATATTATATCAAACTGATATATGTCAAAATTTTTTATTTTCTATTAAGTACAACTTATGCAGAAATATAGCATAAGATTGAAAACTAGGAGATAAATATAAACACTTAAAATTAAAGAGCATAAGATTGAAAAACTAAAAGGTAAATATAATCACTTAAAGTTTTCATTTTCTTCGAATAAACAGTTTGTATCGAGTATCCCCAAGAAATCTAAAGCACTTTATCTTTATCATCGAATACTAATATCATATCAAGAATATGTTTTCCTGCATTTATATGGATATAATTATTCGCATTTCACAAAACGAGTGTTGCTATTATAACTCGTAAAAAATATACTTCAAAGTTAAAGACAAACTATATCGAATTTTCAGTTGTGTTACAGTACAGATAAGAATTTTTCTCATGTGGTTGTCATCGTATTGTAAAATGATGTCTCTCTTAGTTTTATTTATAATTAGGTATCGTTGAAAAAGTAACGTGTCAAAAAAGACGTTTACCGAGTAATGAATATTTTGTCTCAGTTCAATGATAATAATAAAATTTTATCTTAAACAATATCAAAGTATAACGTATTCATTTAATTGCAATGATTTGAATTTCAATAGTATGATCGCTAATGATAGCATATCTGCTGCGTGCGAAGGATTTCCGTGTGTACGTGATAAGTGCTATATTTCTTCGTAAATTTACTTTTTATAGTAAACACTGATACTGCATTTTATGATATATGGATGCAAAACACATTCATTTTATCAAATAATAGAATAATTGAAAAATGTGTGGAAATACCAAACATCGCTTCCATCTTTGTTATGTTAAGAATTATATCGACAATTAAAATGCATCTTGCATAATCAACAATTACAACTTTGACAACTAAAATGCAAAATTAATTCCATTAAGATTTATTGAAAAGCAATTCAAATAAAATACTTGGAGTTAATTAAAAAATACAAATCAATGAAATATAAATTTTGTTATCTATTCAAAATATAAAGGCCTAAAAAAAACTCTGATTTCTTATGCCTTTGTAATTGTGTAAGGCTTCGAAACGTCAAGTGACCGCTCATCTTCAGTTTCTAAATTTAGTCCTAATCTCGATATATAGTTTAGAGGAAGTGCGTTTGGAATATTTCTCTCTTTCTTTCGATATAACACTAATGCTCTTGCAGGTCATCGTGCATGACGCAAGCTGTTATGCGCTCTATGCTCAGCGCAGTTTTGCCGTATTCTGCTTCTCTTCTCATTGACGACGATTGTAGACAAGTTTAAATCGACATGCGAGGATGATCGTTGAAAATCAAAGCGTAATAATACAAGAAAACATGACTAACATAGTCCTACAAGACATCCAACGATATTACACGCCGATTCTCGTACATTTGGGTCTGCTGGGTAACTGCCTATCCGTATGCGTGTTTTTCGGTACGAAACTACGTTATTTCTCATCCAGTATATATTTGGGCGCGCTGGCGATAAGCGATGCCATCTTCCTGGTGACAGTCTTTGTAGTCTGGCTCGTTATGGTGAAAATAGATCTGTTCAATCGGTGGGGATTCAACCAATTTTTCATTTACCTCAGCACTCTCTCCAGCTTCCTCAGTGTGTGGCTGGTAGTGGCCTTTACCGTCGAAAGATACGTGGCGGTCAGGTGGCCACTTCGTCGTCAGTCTTTATGTACGGTCGCCCGAGCGAAGACCGTAGTAATCAGCCTGACAATATTAGCGATTCTGGTATGCAGTCCGGTACTCCTGTTTTCTACATCCAATACGGGTGGCTGTGACTTGGACAGTAATTGGGAATCCTGGGCAAACGCCTACAATACCTTCGACACAATCATGACGTTCGCCTTGCCCTTGACCATGATAGTGATCTTCAATACTCTGATAGCGCGCAATATTTACAAGTTCGACCATGTCCGACGAACTTTAACTATAGAATCCAACACTTCCAACGATAAAGCTCAGACTCTTCGAGATAAAATGCCGCAGACCAAGGTTACAAAAATGCTTCTGCTCGTGTCGAGCACATTCTTCTGTCTCAATATGCCATCGTTCGTCCTCAGGCTAATCGCTTTTCTTTACGTACGTATCTACATTTAATATGTTAAATCGATCGATATAATATCGATCATTACATAAAGATTTTTTTTTTATTTTAAAGTATGTATAGATGATAAAAATTTCGTTAATTAAATCTTTTTTAGAATTAAAATTTCGTTTTCTATAAATTACAAAATTAATGGAGTCTCATTTAATATGCTCTTGTGCATTACATAATATTTTTGTTGAAATTAGAAATCTGTGTAATAGAAGGGTATATGCACAACCACGGATACAATATATTATTTATTATTAATATTTTATTAAATCACGGTTTATATAATAATCGTATTGTATCATATTGTAGTATAGATTTTTTGTTATTTGAACTCTGTTAATTTATACATTAAACTATACTTTTTTGGTAATAATATTTTTAATATTTCACAGTATGTTAATAATTATTATTTTTGTTTTATAATTATTATTTGTTAAATTTAGGACTGTAACAAATCACCAATATGGCTCATTCTGGCGCAACAAATGTGCAACCTATTATTCGCTACAAGTTTCGGAATAAACTTTATTTTTTATTGCGCGAGCGGGCAGAATTTTCGCAAAGCGATGGTCGACATGTTTATAAAACGTTCAAATACTAGGAGAAGCGAAACTCTTATACAGATGGCAAGCCATGGAAAACAGTATGGTAAATATTTAATAATAATAAGGTAACAACGACGAATGTAGATGCACGAGCATTACATTGATTAAGAAATTTTTTCGTTCTTTCTTGCTATATGAATTATGTTAATTAATAAAACAAACACGATCTAGATTTGCGATCAATTTGATAAAGCTTCGCATTTTTTACAGTTTCAGAATTCACGCATAAATGTAATTCGTCGAAACAATCGCATTTTGACAATGCACAACAAAAAAATTGTCAGCAAAAGCTCTCAATAAATAAAGGATTGTGATACAGTGAAAAATTCGTTTCATTACAATTAGCTGAATAAATCATGTGTTAAAAGTGATAGTTAAAAACTGATATATTATAAAGCACAGATATATACAGTATTATAGTATACAGAGAAGAATAAGTTACTTACCAGCCTCAAGTTCTGTAGCTGAAAGCGGACCTACGTTTCCGAAAAAACGTTGATCTAACAGTTGAAGAAGTTGAAGCGCCGCATCGTGGACCGGAGCGCGAGGACATCCTGTATTCATCAACGTGACATTGATGACGCTAGTGTAGTGATCGCAAGGATATTCCCTGAAAAAGACCAAATCATAAACGTATTTACAATGTTCACGAATCTAATTATTATATCACGATTATATCAGTCTCTCCATTGATACAGAAGTATGCGTCTCAAATTTATTCGATATATGTATATATCGTATATTTTCTCCTACTTAATAAAACGCGATTTTATATGATACATTTATATCTAAGACAAATTTTTGAATTTATGCATACCTGGCGCTGAAAATTGTTGCCAAAGCGAGAAAGCAGCCGTCGGCTACTTGTGGAGCGCCAGTATAACATCGATCCACCACCCAATCCAAAAGCGTACCAATATCGGGATTTCCCTCGAGCAACAATACGACGGTTTCACGTGCGAGTGCATAAATCTGCAACAAAGGTATAACATTAGATAAAATATGGGATATCTTAATTCAATTGACAATGAATTCAATGCGTAATATATATAGGGTGTCTAATAATCGCCCCACCCGTAATGTGCAGGTAGAGCGGGTTAAACCGAGTTGGGAAGTCCTCTATCGTTTTGCGATCTTCGTAATAATTAATGAGAAATTAATTTAAAAAAGATCAATCCGCAAGAGTAAGAAACCCGCGACAAGAAAAGACCTCCTATTTACGTGATGCTAGGCACGTGGCGAAGCAATAAGAGGGATGCTCTACAAATGACAACAGTTACATACAAGCGGTATATAACGCTAGATTCTCGTGTCCCAGCAACCACATGTCAATGGGCCGTCCTTTCCCGCCGCGCGATAATACTCGCGCGCATTGGCCGATCTTTTTTAATTAATTTCTCAATAATTATTGTGAAAATCAAAATAGTACAGGACTTTTCTCCTCGGTTTTACCTGCTTTACTTGCACATTACGGGTGAGGCGATTATTATCAGACACCCTGTTATTATTAATTACATATAATTTTGTACATATGTAATCTTGAATGTTAAAATAATAAGAAAATAACGTTTGCAGATAAAAACTTATACGAGAGAGAAATAATTAATTTACCTTTTCATCTTTACTGGCCAATAATGAGTCCAACCATTGATATAAAATGGCACCCTCTTCCGAAAGCGATTGTGGATTAAAGCACGATCCACAACAGAGTAATCCACTCATAGCTTGCAAGGCTGAAAGTTGCAATTCCGTGCAAGATTTTTCTTCCTCTTGCATAGACGACGTGCTTGTAAGCGGTTTGCCATAAACACCGGCCCAACTAGCAAAGAGCATGAACAGATTTCTTCTTAAGTCCCTCTTTAACAAGGTGTAACATGTCTCCACTGGAGAAACAAAAAAAGAATAAGATAATGAATGACTCAAGACATTATATATAAAAACTTATTTCAAAACTCAAAATTGAGTGAAATTGCTTACGTGAAAAACTCTTAATCATTTTCCTGATGAAGTTACAGAAGTGCAATTTAATGTCTCGTACAGCAGGTGCTTCCTTATCGGTCTCGTTTTCTAAATAAATGCGTGCACCATCTATGTACTCGACGAATGTAGGATGTAAGGATTGTGTCTCGCGATCTAAAACCGCTGAACTGGAAAAAGATTACAGCGATTTCTTTAAAATCTATTCATAGAGTGTAAACAAATAGAGAAAGAAAAAAACGAAAAAATATATAACAGTATACAACTCACCAGATGCCGAATGTTCCATATTCGGCAATTAATTCCAGTACTCTTACTAGCTGCAGTCTCAAAGCATCACGTCTTCTTCGCCGTCTCATATTTTCCTGTTTCCGATCTACCGCTTCCCGGATGTAAGGAACCAATTCTTCCATCAAGTCTCTGTCGCAAACATAAGATGATCGAGAAATGTTTTGCAATTTATTCTAACTCATAGAGAATTCTTCATACAGAAACGTGCTTACTTTAAAGCATCAGCATTCACTTTTCCAATTGCCTGCACCGCGGCATCTCTGACGTCGACAGCCTCGCATCTCAGCAAAGGTACAGTCAGCTTGTACAAGGCTGCCGGGCTCGCGTTTGTACCCGGTGATTTGTTATCACCACGTTCTGCGGATAAACTGTCTGGCGAAGAGCTGTGAAAAAGGTATTACTGTATTTCACCACTTCCAAACTTGTTACATTAGTTTTCTATTATACATTTCGTAAATTAATAATTTTCTGTGTGCGCTCAAATATATCCGTCAAAGTTTAATTTTAGAAAAAAGCGATCGGGAACGGTCGTGAGGCTAGGCAAGGATGGCAATATGCAAGTTTGCGCGAAAAGAATTATTAGGCCGGCAAGAAAGCTCGAGCACGAAGCTGTAAGTTCAATAAAAAAAAAAAAATATATCAAACTGTGTTGCGTTATATAAAAGAGTAAGGAGAGAGACGAAGATTCAACAGTGGAAAATACAGAGTGCGATTACCAACGACCGTTCAAATCCCGGGTGACATCGAAGGAAGCGTGGTCGTTTTTGTTTGCGATTATTAATCTCTCAGGCTCACCTGGTACGCTTATGACGGGTGTAGATGCCGGAAATGGACGGTACAGAAAACCGACCCGGCAGGGTCTGCGCCCCGCCGAGATTCTCCAGGCTCTGACTCAACTCCTTACTCATGCACAACACACCAAACTCCACCGTATGCTGACCACTAGAGTATGCAATACAGTGTACCACCAATGCTCCTTATATCAGACATTATTTACTGCTCAGAAAGTCTACTACTCTAATATCTTCCAGAGAAGGAAAGAAAGATGTACATGTACGAGACATAGAACGATAGGAGACAGCATGCGAGAGATGTAGTGTTGCGAAAAATAAAGCGAAGTGTGTATATGCATAGAGGAAAAGAACAGAGCAGATATGGATTCCGCTCCCGAATGTGCAAAATGCGAATTTGGTACGAATTGGTGCCAGTGTACGTGATGGCAAAATCGCCATTGTAAAATGTGCACGATATTAAATTGAGTATATATTGTGTATAGTAATAGATATATATTTTATGTGCATTTAATTAAAAAGATATTATAAAAAAAATAAATTATAACTCGATAACTGTGCCAGTGTACAGGATTAACATTTAAAATGCAAAAACTATAAATTATTTTACAATTCTGTAAAATATATTTAATGTAATATTTCCTGAGACAAGTGAATAAATAAGATGTTTCTGTGGAATGGTAGACACTAATGTAAATATGATCCAACACCAATTGATACTAAGTGATATTGATTTTATTCTGCGTGACTAACTTTTCTTAGATACACTTAAAGCTCTAATATATTATTTTGCTAAACATGAGCTTTTAATTATTCACGATCTTATTTGAGTATCTCAATAAATTTTACGTGTAAATACAAATCGCATGGATAGCTTCTATCAAATTAAATACATTTAAGCAAGGCACTTTGCTACACTTTTGTTCATTAAATATAAATTCGTTCAATTGTATCTGCAACGAGCGTAGCGATGCACACAATTACACGTATTTTTCATTGAGTAATATATAATAAGCATGAATAATCGTTTAAATTGAAGCTTTATTGAAAATATTAAATAATAATAATATGTAATAGAATGATACATATGATATTTGAATTCCTGCCATAAATATTTATATGTTAACTTACCTGAGACTGAGATCTGGACTGGCGCACCGAACGACCGGATTTGGTACAGGTGGCACGACTCTATATCCAAAAGTCAGATAATTTTTCCAGATATGCATATAAACGTCTCTCTCGTTTATCGGTTTTCTCACTGTCGTCGAACTTCTCAGTAATGAAGCTCTGTTGTCATTTACCGGACTGTATACAATTTAATGAGTTTTAATTATTTCAAAATTGAAATGTATACCAAATACACACACAAATTAATTATAAAGATTAAATCTTACGTGGGATCCACTACTGAAAACAGAGAGTTTATGCGAGTAAAGACAATGGGCCAAGAATGAGCAACAGCATTTGGACATAAAGTGAGTACTCTATCCTTTTCCAGAAAGGCAAATAGACAACTGGCCCATGGATCAGCCCCATTTAGATTAAGCGAAGAAGAACTCTTGGTACTGTTTTCATCGTGAAATCCTGCAATATAAAGGAAATATAAAGATAATGTAACATATATATATATATA